ACAATTCAAAAACGTCACTAAGAATCAGGAAAGAGGCTTAAGAAGAGCACAAATGATCCAATCTCTGAAAATGAGGCCCTATAAGAAAAGGTTTGAGAACATTTTCTGCAGAAGAGATGGTTGAGAAGGCTTGGCATCTTTCAAGCAAGAGTGAAGTGACTATGGATTTTCATTACCACAAATACGATTACAATTAAAAAATCTATGCAGCAGTAGCATACTCAGCTGGCAAGCTGTTTGAGTATGGCCAACAACAAAGATTGTCCCCTGAAGAACACTCAAGTATGCAATATAGCATGTTGTTTAGAAGCACAACATCTGGGGCCAGAATTCCTGGATTTAAATCTTGACTCCACCACTTACTAGCTTGTACAAATCTATTGAGTCTAATGACTGATGCCCACCCCCCTTTGGAAACAAAGAACTAAGAACTGAGAACTAAATAGCATAACAGAAAGGGTGAAATGAAAAAACACGTACTCTAGTCATACAACAAACATAGCTTGTTGGCAACAGGCCCAAAAGGGCTACTTCCTTTATTAGTCTGAACTGTGAGTTATTAAGGGTAATCATTAATGCTATCCAATAAAAATGTGTGATTTTTTTTCCCTAGGTACATGGTGGATAAGCACTTCCCTACTTCTCTTGAAGTTGGGAGTGGTTCTGGGACTTGCTTTGACCAATGAAACATGAGTGGAACAGCTAGTGTATAATCCATTCAGGTCCCTTTTTCTTGCCTTTGGCAATTGTGAAAACATAGAAATGAAGCCTCCCTAAGATGACAGAACATAGTCCCTCAGGTGACCTACAATGGACACAGAACAAAAATGAAAAATATTTTATTTTAAATCATTAAAATCTTGTTTCTTGTTATCACAGCAGACCCTAGTCTATCCTGAATGATTCTATATGATTGACACAGAAATTAGAACACTTAGGGCTCTTGTCTTCTGTATCCATCAGATCATAGCTTTCTCTGTACCTCCCATCTGTAAGATAGAAACTGTCTTTGGGTGGACATGCACTGATTATTCCAAGCGGCTCAGATGAGTCCTACCTGCCAACAGGTGAGGAAGATTTACCTGTTTTTACCCACAATGGCCTAAGAGAAGTCCCCATGGAGATGGGCCTTATAAATTTTTTTCTTCTCACAGAAAGAACCCAAGATTATTTGATTAAAATCTAAGCTTGCCACCACAGCCCAAAGAATGTTGGGTATCTGGAGAATACTTATGGGTGAACAGAAGAACTTGGGAATAACTAATAAAGAATGAGAAGTTTAGTAAGTTGTCTAAATCAGTGGTTTTCAAGCTTTTGCCTATATCAGAATCACCCAGGAAGCTTGTTAACAACCCAGATTAGTGGGCCCTGCCTCTGAATCAGCAGGTCTGGATAGGCCCAAGAACCTGTATCTTTATCAAGTAACCAAGAGACACCGGTTTAGAGACCACACTTTGAGAATCATTGCTTCAGAAGGATTAGCTTTAAGAAACCGGAGGCGGGGGCTTTGGTGAGGGGAATAAATGGGGTTATAACTCTCCAGGAGTTGGACTTACCAGATACTCTTTGGAGAAATAAAGGAAAGGCCCAGTTTTACCTTTTCCACCCAAGATACTCATCTGACAGTGCATGTACAAGAACACCAATGGTCATCACAGTCATTTATCCTCAACACATAACACCCTTTACAACAAAAWTGAGTTTCTTTAAGGGAACAAAAGAGGAATGTCATTTATTTGCATATTTTTTTACCTTTATTTTTATTTGGTGCTGAGGATTGAACCTAGGGTCTCTCACGTGCAAGGCGAGCGCTCTACTGCTGAGTCACAACCCCAGCCCCAATTTGAATATTTTCGAAACAGTTCCTGCAAGGGGAAATTAYGCCTTAGCCTCCAGAGTTTTTCCAGGAGATATATCTGGATGTGTTTCAGGAAGGAGCAATTTAGGTAATTGGCTACAGCCTTCCTCTTCATCTCTATCTTCACACTCCCCTTCATAAACCTCCACTATAAGTCATTCTTCTTGACTTCTGACCCCACCAAGGCTGGTCATACCTTGCATGGGTTGTTCAGGACCCACACACTAATCTTCCCACATCTAAACTGTCCCCTTCCTTCAGTTTAGGGCCAGACTTCTTTCATCTTTACCAAGGTCAATCAATCACCAAGTCCTGTCAATTTCAGCTCCCAAGTATCTCCAGAATCCACCCCGTGCTCTTAATTTCTCACTCTAGTTCAATTGGTGTAGACCTTCCATGCTGTACCCCATTTCTCTGTGGGTCTTTGCCCAAGTTGTTCATCTTGACAAAACAGGTTTCAATTTAAACTTCCCAGGACTGAGGGGCTTTCCACAGACCCTATAGCAGGTTAGAGTCTCCTTTGATCARTTCCCACAAAGCCCTATGTTTCCTTTTCCACAAATACTTCATCACATTTTTTATCTTGTCATTATTTATCTTCATAAGCTCCTTGCCAACAGGACCACATTTGTCTTGCTCCAGAGTCCAACACAGCCCCAACACAATTTAARTTTATGAATAAGTGTGGAAATCTTCACATTTTTTTTTTTCTTAACACTTTGTCTCAATGCCTTAAGCACAACCTGCCTTTTACAAGGAATATCCGACTACCCAGTGCCACCCAACCCCTGAGATAATCAGATATACCCATGACATCCAGGAAATGGCCTCAGAAAGAGGCCATTTTCCTTGGAAACTGGATGGAATTGAGATTAATTAGAGATATTCTGGCAGGAAAAAAAAAAGCCTACCTACTACTCAGAAGTAGTGAAGAGATAGTTTTCTGTTAAGAATGAAGAGAAGGGCTGGGGATGTGGCTCAAGCGGTAGCGCGCTCGCCTGGCATGYGTGCGGCCCGGGTTTGATCCTCAGCACCACATACAAACAAAATGTTGTGTCCACCGATAACTAAAAAAAAAATAAATATTAAAATTCTCTCTCTCTCTCTCCCTCTCTCACTCTCTCTTTAAAAAAAAAAAAGAATGAAGAGAAGAAGAAATGTTTGTGACAGAATTGTTTAGTGATGGAAGCCTATGCATCTCTAGCAGCTCTTATTGAAGTTGGTAACTTCCTGCACCAAGAGTTCTGATGGATTCTCCATTCAAACCTTATAAAGATGGGTGACTGTCTCACAAAGGGGACTGAATTCAAGGACCTCCTCTCTTCAGAATTCTTTAYGCAAACTCATTTGAGGCTGGAATTTGAGGAATTTACTCTCTCATACAGAAGTTCTTTCTCCATGTAGGAGACAAGACAAACTTTACCTTCTACTACTCTCTCAACTACAGGATGAGCATCCCTTATCCAAAATGCTTAGAATTCAAAGTGTTTCAGATTTCAGAGTGTTTCAGATTTAGGAATATCTACATGGACTTTACCAGTTGAGCATACTTAATTCAAAAATCCTAAAATCTGAAAAATTTTTTAAAATGTATTTCTTTTTAGTTACAGATTGACATAATACCTTTATTTCATTTCTTTTTATGTGGTGCTGAGGATCGAACCCAGTGCCTCACATGTGCTAGGCAAGCGCTCTACCACTGACCCATAACACCAGCTCCCTGAAAAACTTTTTGAGTGCCAATATAATTCTCAAATTTTTCGATTTTGGAACATTTCAGATAAAGGATGCACAACCTGTACTATTAAAGTCAGAACCCCCCCACCCTGAGCCTGGCAGTCATGTCCCATGGACCACCATTACCAAAATAATTAACCAAGCAATCTCTGACAAAGTCAGAGGCTGGATTGCCTGAAGAGAACACCACATAAAGACAGCAGAGACCTTAAAATCTAGCAATCCTTGGATGGCATCTGGCTCTCTACTTCTAGCCATCTGACTTTGTACAAGTGACTTTTATTTTTTTGATTCCCRGTATCTTCACCTCTAAAGAGCAATGATGGTCTCTCAGGATTACTGTATTACACRAGATATGAATGTAAAGCCTCCAGCACAGAGTAAACATGCAAGAAAAGTCAGTGTCATCACAATTATAGACTTCTAATTTTAAAACTTCTGTAGGATAATGAATCTAAACTGAAAATACTAGAGAGATAAAATTACATGTTTTGAATTTACTTCAAAATAATCCAATGGGTGAAAGGGAGGGTATGGATGAAATAAAATTATGAGCACATTGGAGTTACTGCCTTCTCTCAACTTTTATATGTTTAAAATTTTCCATAATTAAAAAATTCAAAAGCAGTTAAGTACTAAGGCAGGAAAATACTACAAAAATATAAATACTGATGGTTTATTTTAAGATCACATTTTATTTAAGTGACAGAACATAGGGAAATTTTTATTTAAAACTTAAAGCTAATATCCCTTTGCTTCTCAGAAATAAATATTTTCTTCAGATAGAATTGCCCCAGATGAGAAGGGAGCAGAACAACTTAYGCACTTTTCTTGCCTTCATTTTTTTGGAAAACAATATGTGCTGCTCAGGTTGTACATGTATTTTTAAGTAGACAATCCCCGGTGACAGAATCCACCTCTGAGCAACTAGCCAGACATCAGCTGAAACTGAGCTGTGGAGCAGRAAAGTTCCCATTTTAGGAACAGAGCAGACAGGATTCAAAATGTTCAGGGATGGTGGTATCACCAGCCTCCTCACTTGTAGACCCCAGCTTTGGATCTCATGAGGCTTACCTGTGAGGCTGACTCTCAGTGTGAGGTTACATTTATTCTCATACCAGATGAGTGGTCTAGTCAGAGCACAGCTAATATGTTAGATGATGCTTCAGGGGAAAGGGAACTTTTAAGAGGCTCTGACTGTACCAACCTCAGCATATCCCTATATCATCTCTCCTTTACCACATCATCCTCTGATAGAATTCTGGAGATTGAAAAATAAAATTCTTCCCACATTTCACAATGAATCAACAAACCCACTCCAATAGTCCAATAAGYTTTGTTCTAAGCAAATACCTTTAAGCCCCCAAACTGTGCCTGGATAAGAAGAATATATAAAAATACTTACTCTTCTTGAAGAATGAATTCACTATTTTCTGGAGAAAACTGCCCGGTCACAGGATGCCTGAATGCTGTGGTGTGCTGGTTATGGCTAGAGAGAGAGAGAGAGAGAGAGAGAGAGAGAGAGAGAGAGATGATGATGAATAGAAGTCATGTTAATGAAAGGATTACAAACACAACCAGTCAGTAACGTCTGGGGGACCCTTGGTCACCATCACTCCTCACAGAGTGAGGGAAGTGGGCCTTTTCTCTGAGAGGCATTTAACCTCTCAAATGCAGTTACATTGGAAATCAAGAATTTCCAACTCAGGTGCCAAAGCCCACTTTAATGACAAGGATTTTAATTCCAAGGAAGTCTTGACTTCAAGAGAAGATTGTGTATCTTGGAGACATTTCATGAAGTACTTACTCTAATACAYTGAGGGGCTGAACAGCAAATTATTTTAAGATAGCATGAGCTAAAATAAGAATGAAAGGAAGTAGACGACACTTTCAACAGCTTATAACAACCATGAAGCAGGGAAAGAATTCTAAGAATTAACTTCCCGCCCAGAAAATTCTATCTCCTTAAAATTCTTCTCTCTACTACAAAATGTGTTCAGTTCAATGATGGGATAATAAACATTTGGGCATGTCTCTGCAACATGACCTGTGCAATTTCAACACTGGAGTTTCTATCACCCTTTTGAAGTTAGCAGGGATCAGCTTCCAAGCCAAGCTGACAGACACAACCAAAGTCTGTAGGTGTTTTGTATGTTGACAAAGGCCGCCTGGTTCTTTTAGGATGGAGGAGTGAGCTCTAGAGGCTGCTAGTTTGTTGCATGAATAAACTAAACTAACATCCTCTTTTCTTTATTTAAATAAAAAAATTAAAAATTTTTTCCAATCACAAAATCAGTTATTTTCAAAATTTTATAAAGTATGAAAAGGAAAAAAATCATCCATGATGTCCCCATCTGGAGATATAGCTGAGTATCTTCTTATGAGTTGTTTTTCTTTTTCTTTCTATTTAAAAAAATAGTGATATATATTTTCTCCCTTAATCTTATTAATGTAGAAAATATCCTATTTTATTAAAGCTTCTTTATTTGAAATGATTAAATAATAGTCTTACCATATGTATACAATTTTTTTTTCATAACTATTCAAAAAGTGTCACTGGGCACATGTATGCCAGGCAGTGCTATAGTTGGTACTAGAGACACAAAGGGAACAAAAAAGTCCCAACTCCTGGACATGATAATAGTCTTCTATTGCTGGACATTTGGGGTGCCTCCCCCACTGCTACTATAATCCATGCATCTTTGAGCATAGGCTTTTTATGAAACTCAAATTATTTCCTTGTGTTAAACTCCCAGAGATGAAATTATTGAACCGAAAGTCATGGTCACTTTTTAAACCTCTTAATACAGACAACCAAAATGCTTCTGTTAGGATATTATTGCCATCTCCAAATTGAGCCCTGAGCCTCCCTGGAGATTAGTATGTCTAAACCAGCACAAAAGTTAAAAAAGAAAAGTTCTTGAGACCTATAGAGTTTTCTTTACTCTGCCCAGTGCCTAAGGATAAGCTGGGCACTCAGAACTAGAGCAGCCTGGATCCTAATGAGCCAAAAGTGAAGCAGGGCTGTTCCTGGCCCTCCCACCATGTGCCACCCCTACCACACCCTTACCCACCCATCCAACTACAGCTGGCCTCTCTTTCTGGGCTCCTACTCTCAAGTGAGCCTGTGGAATTCTATGACCTTATCTGGCAGGCAGCAGCCTGGTCTTTTCCTAAGAAAAGCAGCTTTCAGGGGTGAGCACCTGAGGTAAAGGATGAGAAGTAGGGCCCCTTTAACACCTGTTTCAGAAATCCCTGCATCATGTTCAAGGGGTAGGCTTTATTTGCATCTACTTTCTTCTAGAGTCATTTCTACTCACTGGGGAACTTGAAAATGCAAATTATAATCTAATCCTGCCTCATTTTGAGAGAGAGAGAGAGAGAGAGGGAGGGAGAGGGAGGGAGGGAGGGAGGGAGGGAGGACAGAGAGAGGAGAGAGAGAGAGAGAACGAGAACACCCTGGTTGTAATGGGAATAACAATAAAGCAGTAACACCAATATCCACTATTACCTCTAAAGGACTTTACAGTCTACAAAGCCTTCTCCTAACAGCTCAGTTGTTAACATCATGAAACTGGGTTCAGAGAGGTTAAATGATTTGCACAAAAAGCTTTTGTTGGGCTGGGGGATGCAGTTCAGTTGTAGAACACTTGTCTAGCATGCACAAAGTCCTAGGTTCAATCCCCAGTATACAGCTAAATAAATAAATAACTCTGTCAATAACTGATAAAACTGGGACATAAATGCAGGTCCTCTAGTTTTTAATATCTTTTTTGCATGATAACTGGACATTTCCTTCCCTTAGGGATCTGTGCGGCTGGCAGCTTCCTGGATATGATCAGAAAGCCCTAAAGAAGACATGAGAAAAATAGCACCACTCACCACTATTCCCTGTTCTTATCTCCTGTTTTCCCCTTGGATCCAGTGCCAAAGTTTTGAGTGAAGACACTTGTGCAGCCCTCAGTAGCTATAAGATCAGTTGGTAAATCTCTAGTAGATGAGGACATGGAGCCAAGTTTTCTATGTGCCTGAAGCAGATCCATACACTGGTAACCACCTTGTCGTACACACTATCTAACCTTCAAAGCAATTCCTGGGTTCCCCATCCCCAATCTGTATCTGCTTAAATAAGCTCAGAGCTTGGGTAAATGAATACTGAGCTGCAAGGTCTAGGCACTAAATTGAATTTTGCATTCTAACATTAGAAGAAAAATAATTTTTAAAAGTTGACCAAAAGAAAATATCTGCCATCTGATCAAATCTAGAGGCAGCTCTCCAAACTTTCTTCCCTAATATGGAAGCTGCCCTCTGTGCTAAAACATTCCTGGCCACGGTACCATCACCACCCTTCTGCGTTTACACCACGTTTTCAGCACGCTCACATYTGTCATCTTATTGGGTCCTGGCAACTACTCATTAAGGTAGGCAGGACAGATATTTTTATTCCCATGATACACATAAGAAAAACAAGGCTCTGGGTTATGGGACATTATTTGAACACTAAATTTTAAAAACGGGTGGAGGGGCGAAGTAATGACATAATGAGAAAATACGCGAGCCAACATAATGCTTCCTGAACACTGAGGTTTTAAAATTTGATTGTTTTTGATCAAGTACACCCAGCTTGCTAATGGAAGAGTTCCTGGATCAGCACTCTTTTGAGCAACAGAACAGGAGTCAGGTCCCTGGGTTATTCCACTCAATCTTCCCAAATACCTGGTAGGGCAGGTTATGTATCATCACCAGGCCACAAGTGAGGAAGGTGAGACCCACAATGGGTAGGCAGCTTGCCCACAGCCACAGTCTACTTCTGGGTTCTTTCCACATCACCCACTTCTGAACTCTTTCCACTCCTCCAGGCTCACCCTTTCCARACGAAGGTTGCCCATTAAACTCATTTAGATTCTGCAAGTCCTCTAGCTTTACTTGCTTTCTCTGACCCATTGGTCCTAAAGCCCCCAGTCTGCTCCATTTTCTGATTCTAAAATCCATGAAGAGTCTCATATCCTATCACCCTGTCTTAAGCACTTAGCAGGCACAGACATATCCCCTGAAATACCCGTTCTTAAACCTGAATTGCCACCTTGCTCCCTGGTAATACAGAGATGACCAGGATGGGAGCCAGATGACTGGTTTCAAAGGAGCACAGAAACTCTTTCTCTCCTATACAAGTGCTTCTGTTTCTCTGCAGGCTACTGAGAAAGCAATTTGGAAAATGAGGTAAAACACAATGTAGTCTTCAATTTCAATTCCTGCTCTTCCAGAAATGGCCCCTCAAAGAAGCATGGCAGGCAATCTCACTGGAGAAGAACCAGGGAACACATATGAAGGTGGTGAGGAAGGATGGTCTCCATGAAGGCGGGCCATGGGTAACCATCCAGGTAAATAAGCACGCCTTCACAGGCCCAAGGGCAGAGAAGGACTGGGTTAGGCCCTACAGAAGCCTGGCAGCAACACAAGAGACGTGGTAACAAAATAAAGTGAGGACTAGGGAGAACTGGAATTTGAGCAACGTAAGAACTCATCTACAGCCACAAACAAGGCTAGTCAGAATGTAAAGTCCCACAATTTCTTGCAATGTTTTTTCAAGACCAATTTTGTATCCACATAGATTTTGAGTCTAATGTGAACAGTGAGTCTGTTTGGTTAAACATGAAGGTTCCAATTATTTATTAAGATGTGTTTTTGGCGTGGAAGGAATTTCTGGAGTTGTGTGAATGATGTCCAACAGTGGCAGTCAGAGAACCCTGATAAGTCTGATTTTCTGACAGTAGTGGTATTCACATGCTAGTGGGATGCGTCTGCTCTGTCAATACTAGCTCTTCTCTGGCCCAGACTCCAAAGGGAAAAAAAACAGCTTAAAATATAAGAGCAGGACTCTATTCAGGATCTTCTCATTAACATGCTCAGCAAAACTTACCTCTGGAACCTTCTCCTCAATGTGGCTCCCTGAACACTTAAAAAGAGTCACCTCGCAGGTTAAAGCCACATCCAGCACTGCCTCTAGGTGTGTAAGGCAAAGATTTACAATATTTGTTCTAAATCCAAGTGTCTCGATAAAACTGAGAATTCTGCATAACCTAATAATATTCCAAGTTTGGGCTGAAAACTGRAAATTGAAACTTCAAGAACACAAGAAACTGTCTCTTCCTTTTCTTCAGCTAATTTAGGCCCCTCAATAATGACGTAGCACCAGATTCGGTGGTGCACACCTGAAACCACAGCAGCTTGAGAGAYTGAAGCAGGAGGACCACAAGTTTAAGGCCAGCCTTGCTAAGTGAGACCTGTCTCAAAAAATAATAACAGCTGGAGATGTAGCTCAGTGGTAAAGTCGCCTAGGTTCAATCTCCAGTACCAAAAAAGATTAAAAAAAAAAAAAAAAAAGTAGCAATCAACAGTTGAAATGGCATTTCCACACTCACTCAACATTTCTTAAGCTCCTTTTGGTTTATTTTATTTAACGCTTTTACAAAATAGCTTGTTTAGTAC